GGATCCTTATGTCTGGGTTGATTTTTGAACTCTTTTGACTTCTTATATACTTCAGATAATGTGAGAAAGTGAGAAAAACGTATGAGTGACACATGAGACAATATGAGACACACGCGGGAAGAATATGATAATCCTATGCAAGCACATGAGAAAGGTATGAAAGGTGCATGAGAAACGTGCGAGAAACACACGAGAGTCATTTGCCAGTTAAAGCATGCTGGATCAGGCAAACCATGAGTTATAAAAGCTGCGCTGAATCCTCATTAAGCAGCCATGGGCCGCAAGCTTTGTCACGTGTTGGATGCGAGGTCAAGCTTGACAGGGAACACGGGGCGCAACTCACACTTGGCCCCAAGCATGGCGAGTAGCCGTCCTCGGTGGGCTGTGAGAGCGACTGTGATGCACATGTGGCTTGCCCATTGCTAGCAGATTGAAATCCAACTCGTGCAAGCGACCCTACTTGGGTGTCATGGCGAAAGCAAATGCGCACACCTTGCGCATGCCAAGCTATGTATGATCAGCCAAGCTGAGGCCCTGGCAGCATGAGGATTGCCTGGCAGGCGTGGATCGGACAAATTGCACAAGCCATGAATGATCAGCAGGCTGAAGCCGGGCATTGTGCTTTTCCCCCTCTGCCTCTTCTGCGACTGCTAGGGACCACCGCCCCACTGGAGCCACAAGACCCCACTGGAGCCACTAGACCCCACTGCAGCCATTAGACCCCACTGGAGTGCAGCGTTGCCTGCCACATCTGTGAAGCGAGCTGTCTCACTTCCTGCGCAGGCCTGCTGTGGTGCCTCACAGAGCAGGTCAGTGTGGCAGGAGGGTGGCAATGCAATGGATGTCATGTATGACATGCGTCTATATAACGCAAGCCAGGAAGCTGCTGACAAGTTGAGCACCATGCAGCCCTCGCACCCAGTCCACCACTGCTGCGCCAGGTGACGCAACTGCACCTCATAGAGCTGGCCTGGGGCTGAACTGTATACGCAAACACCAAGCGCCAACCCCTTCCTCATTTACTGTGACATGCAGATGTGACCCCTTTGCCTTTTGCCGCATCATGCCAAGCTTCTTCTCAGCAGCCAGGAAATCATGATTCACCCCGGTGTCTACCAGCACTGCTCCTTGACCCACTTGAGCCCCTGGACCCAGCAGTGCAGCCCCTCCTCAGATAGCATCCGGGCAGGGTGACTAAAGTTTGAGGCAAGCCCAAGTGAATCACACCTGCACCAGCAAGCCGTGTGCCAGCCAGGGGGCAGCATGACGCTGAACTTGGGATGCCTGGCCAACTTCTCCTGAATGAGGGGGATTCGTGCCCGTGTGGAAGGCGTGCAGCGGGATCACTAGATCAAACATGGCGTAGGCCTTCCTGTCCGAGAGCTGAGCTAGACCAGCTGAAAAGACCTGCGCATCAGCGATTTGGCGGCCACACCCACCCTGCAGAGCAACATACTCACCTTTTGGACAGTTCCCAGCCTTGATCTTCGCAGCTTGGGCTGGGGTCTTACTTTTGGCGCTGCCCTTGAAATGGGGTCATCACTGCCTGGATCAACTAGATCCACTGGATCTGGGGCGGCTGGATCTTCTGGCGCTGGATCAACTGGATCCATGAGATCCGCTGCATCCATTGTATTAGAAATTTGGGCCTGCGCTGTCCATTGAATTAGAAATTAAGGACCCAGGCCAAGTGTCCCAGTTTCAGCCATGGAAGCGGCCTTTGGAGACTACCAAATCCTCTACCATAGCTGAAGTTGAAAGACTGGACCTGTCTCTGCTTAAATGTCATGGCCGGCTGGATTCACCGGGCCGGCTTGAGCATGAACTCCATCAGCTCCCTCCTATTCTCACCCATCCACTCCTGCAATTGTGTCTTGATGACATCTTCCTCAGCGATTGGGTTGGGTGAGGCAAGGAGGGCTGAGTATGGTTGGGCTTCCCACTCAACGACCCCTTTTGCCAGGTGGCAGCATCAATTGGGCCGGCCGGCGCTGGCTGAAGCAGCGCACGGACAAACCCAGGCAGTCAGCTCAGGTAGGAGTCCTTGCGCGCAGCTCACATGGGAGACTGATGCCACACAGGCCATGCCTGTAGTTACAGCAGCTTTGTGCGCTACTTATGTGGGAGGGTGTTCCAAAGCACAGGGCGTAGTTATCCTGGCGCCAGCTACCAAGCCAACAAGTGAAATCCACCTGCCTGCGTGCAATTATCAATTTTTGGCAGGAAGTTGCAATTGCAGACTCCTGGCTCTTGAGGAGGCTCAGCGTTCTCCCGCTCCACCAGCTCTCGGCATTCCGCCAGGCACTCCAGTGAAACTCTTCCCGGCAGAAGTGCGACAACAATGGCTTGGGAGGGGGGGCATTAGATACTGAGCTGCTGGGTCTGCTGCGTCTGCTGAGTGCCTGCTGAATGTCTGATGAGTGCCTTGCCAAAAAAAACTCTGCAGAACTGGCAAGCTGTCTAGCAGCATATATTCACCCAGTGCACTTTCACTCTTGCTTCACACATGCACGCTGCCCACCCGCACCTTTCAGCAAATCTTGCTGCACTCCGTGGCGGCTACGCCTTGGGAAGGTAAACCCTGGAGGGTGCTATGTGCAGTTTTCTCATGTTTCTGACGCATGTCTCATATGTTTCAGTGTGTTCATTTTTTATCATAATTTCTCATACTTTATCATGCTTCTCATATTAATATGTTTCATATGTGTCTCTCATATTGATCACATCCTTCTCCTATGTCTCGCATGTGCTCCTCATATGCATCTCAGATGGTTCTCATATGTGTCTCATGTGCGTCTCATAACTGTCATGTAGACCTTGTTTCTGTGGTGCATGGGGCCAACTTGCATGCGCTCAAACATGATTGGGCAATCCGAGCATAAGGAGGCCCGCCCGGGCTTCATCATGTTTGAATTGCCAGTCATGTTTGCACGCTGCTGCCTGCTCATTGCCTGGATGCTCTCTATGATGTGTTGCTATTGCAAAGCAGTTGGGTCAGGGTCAGAGGAAGTGCGCCCCACTCATTGGAAAAATGCATTTCCCCATGGGTAGGGTCCATGCTGGCTGTACACACACACACTCACTGGGACCAAGACTCATCAATGTGCCAACACTGTGACTTGTGCACGCATGTGCTCAAGAATGATCTATTACTATGGTTTCCTTTTGGGTGACCTTGAGAACTCAGGGAGGCTTTGCACTGGGGCCAGCACCCTGCAGAGCCGCTGGGCCCAGGGTCTTCTTAACCTCAGGTGGACAATTTCAGCTTCTTGATGATGTGAGAGCTCCAACTGTGCGGCATGATGGTGGTCCAGCAATCCATGTGACAATTTCATTGTTTTTGGTGGCCGTACTTGCCATTAAGGGCTGTGATGATGGGACGGTTCCAGTGTTCCAGTGGTCAAGTGTTCCAGTATTTTACTGGACCAATAGGTCAACAAGCAAAACTCCCAGTTGTATGTGAGGTGGCCTGGCAGTGCAACCCAAAATGATCTTTCTGAGTTCAGTGCTGTGCAGGCAGTAGCTCTGCCTTGCCTGGCGTGGGCTTTCAACACCATGCCTTTCCATGCTGTCCTGCCCCTCCTTCTCAAAGCTTAATTGATAGCAAAACAGTGGCTTTGCTTAGCACAATATGTGGCTTGGAGTTCCTGAGTGATTGGAGGTGTCTAGTTAAGAAACCATGCGCTCTGAAACATGCAGCTGTACTCGCCAATGCGCCAGGCAGACCTCCTCATGCTGTAGGGCAAGCCGCTGCAGCTGCTGCTTGCGCCAGGGCATGTTCCATGTTGGCATGTAACATGTGCTTTGGGCATGCCACTCCTGTGCTCAGCTCTTCAGCACAGGAGTTTCATGTCAGAAGCACATGTCAATCTTCTCAGTAATATGAACATGCACACACAGAAGCACACATGTAACCAATGAGGGCAAACAACGCACCACATGCGTGTCACAACCATAGTGCCTACCCACCCAATGCTCACTGTATTGTAACCATATCAAGCACTTAATCAACGCACATGTGTGGAAGCTATGCAGGCAACTTACCAACCCTCATGTGTGTAGCAATGATACTGGATGTGCATGAGTCTGCGGATAATGGCTCTGTGCTCCTCACATGCTTCTCATGTGTTTGCTAGAAACACATTTGAAGCATCTGAGAAACACTGGGCACTGAAATGCGCATGGTTTTATGGCCAATTCTTGGTTTATGGTAAACACGTACATGGCATGATTATGCCGAATTGTTGTGCCAAAATGGTCTGATTTTCCCCCATAATGTGCGCATATGCTGTATACCAGTTACCTTTTGCTAGTATACCACTTCCATGGGTCAGAGTTTGTATGTTGTTTTAGGGGACCGCGCAAAGCCAGCCCCAAAGTGGTTGCCCCTCAAGAAACCTTGGCCGCAAAAAGATGGGGTACCTTACACATGCGGCTTTTCTTGGTTTTAAAGCCATCCGAAAAGACTTGCGGTTGATCAAAAGGTCCTGGAAATCCACTTGAAAGATGAGATTTCGCACATGGGAAGAGTTACCCATGGTCAAACCTCGGGGCCCTTCCTGCCATATGTTTCTCAACCCCCACCTCCATAGCTTCAAAACCCAACCCCGGAAATGCCCTGGACCTGTTGATTCCATCTCCTTTCCCACTAGATCGGGCAAGCTACCCATGGTCATTGGGCCAAACATATGGCCATGGGTCAAAAGTCCCGTGCTTCCAGTGAACATCCCACTCCCCACTGACATAGGTTCTAAAATGGGTGGTGAATTCACCAACCAAAATGGGATCAACCACAACGGTTTTGACCACCACAGCCATATTAATCCCCAGGTTCTAAAATGGGTGGTGAATTCACCTACCAACCAAAATGGGATCCCAAAACAACCAAAATGGGATCCCAAAACGGTTTTGACCCATATTGATCACCCCCCCCCCCCCCCGGCAGACCCCCGCAGACCCCGCATGTCTCAACCGCCGCGCCTCGGAGCCTCGGGGCCGAGGCCCCGAGTCTTCAGATAGCGAGCGCGGTGCGGCCGCGGCCACGGGGCGCGGAGCCCGAGCTTGAGGTAGGAACGGTCATGCCGGGAATCTGAGACGTTCAGGTGGGTTCCTTGTCAGGTAGGATTCCACTTTACGTAGTTCCTTTGTTTATTTTTCTCTTCTTTACTTCTTTGTTCTGTTTTAATGATATATAGTTTATGTAGTAACACTAAACTAGCTACATCGACCTCCTGTTGTGGTAGCTGGCAACTCAGTTCTTCAGCTGCCACTGCCTGCTGACGTAGCACTGCCTGTGCACTTTGCAGTGGGAGGTGTGTGTATCCGGGCTGGGCCTTTCCAGTCCTCTGGTTGAACGGGGGTCCCCATTTGGAGCAGTCGTCTCGGAGATCGTTCGAACCGCAGGTCACAAATTCTGACAGCCTCTGCAGGATGCATGTTCGTAGATAGCTGTTTCACGACCATGTTTCATTTGTGCCCTGTAACGGGGAATATAATTCTCGTGTTTTTGAGTGCGTGGTGTTGGCCTCTACATGTGTAGCGTGATGCTGTGTCGGGTTCCTCTAAGAGGAAACCCGATAACAGAACACTTTGGAGTCGGCGATCATGGTTCACGACCTGTGATGTCCGTGTTAACGCCCAGTATGATGCGCCCGTTCCACTGGCAAGTCTTCAGCTGCAAATGCAGCTTGCAGGTTATGCCGTTTTGGCAAAAGGACACGTTTGTGATTGACCTGCGTTTTTCTTGGAGCATGGAAAGCGCTTGAGAGTATGGCATGGACTTTTGGATTGAGCGAGGACATACCGCATTCAATTCATGGAGTGCATTGCTGCATTGCTGAGTGCATGCCTGCATTGGTTGGCTTGGCAGCTCTTCAATCCAACCCAAGGTGTTTTATTGGTTTCAGTGCGGCATTGCGTTGTCTCTTCACAAGCCTCAGCAGCCCTAGCCACACGAGCAGGCAAGATACGCGCGGACAACGTTAGATTCATGCAGTCCATGTTTACTGTGCCAACAAGACGCGTGCCACGAGTGAGGGCCGCAACGATGTTATCAAGTAGCTTATTAAACTATACATCAGAGTTGCCTGGCATCTATCATCAATTATCCTTTTCCGAATGGCGTATGTATTATGTTTGTTTCTTCTTGCTCTCTCTCTGACTCTCTGTGTCTCTGTCGCTCTTGCTACTCCCCCTCTCCCCTCACTCCTCACTCAGAGCCTTGGCATTCACAAGCGGTCAGCAACCTCTCCACCGGCCAAGTTCGATGGGCGCCTTTCTTCGCTTTTTGGCTCCGGCACACGCCGTGGGACAAAAAAAAACAGTTGCTCGCAGGAAGGAAGGACTTGGCCATCTGAAATTTGTTTGGAGGGGTCGGAAAAACAAATCCCAGAATATAACGGGAAGACATATCCCAACATAAATCCGCACCCAAGTTGTTTTGTTTTGTTTTGGCCAATGGCTCACCATGGCACAGCTCGTTCAGTCCATTGAGCAAGAAGGTTGTTCCTGGACGCCTAACCGGCCTGTCCAATGGCGCAATGATGGAATGGATGGGATCACTTTGCAGGTGCAGTTGCCAAGTGGTTGCGAGGCGAGGCACAATTTGTTGAAGCAATTGGACCCTGCTCTCCCACAAAGGCATCTTGTCGTTTAAACAGTTGTCTAAACCCTGGGTCCAGCGCTCCAACTGTTCGTTGTTCCTCCATTGTTTTGTCTTTCTTGTTGTTTGGGGTTATATGCTTTTCCCCCTGGTGTTTTTTTTCTCCAACATACATATACACAGTATATACATATGATATTATTGTATAGTATTGTTTCTTTTCTTGCTTCTGTCCTTTTTTCGGTTTTTATGTTGTTTGTCTTCTTTTTGTGTGTGTGTCCTATGTGTTTGTGTTGTTTTCTCCCTACAACATCGGAAGCTTCCAGGCTCGTGCTTTCTCCATTTTATGTTAGTCTCAGAATCCCAAACATCTATCGTATTGATCTGTTGGTTGATCTTCTCCGCATTCTACAATCTACATTTAAGTCTCAACATTCTAAAGGTTTTGCTTGTTCAAATTTATTTCTAAACAAAAAATAAATAGCTTGTTCTAATGATGTAGGATCTTCTCCGCCCTTCCAGGCCATCTCTGTCTCGGGGGATGACCTGCGCGCAGTGGCTCGGGTGTGGTCCGGCTGCCAGACCTTGGCGCGGCTGCACCAGGTGAAAGACGCGGAGGTGCTGAGAGCGGATGGGGAGGTCTTGGATTTGGGCAAGACCCTGCAGGCCCAAGGACGGCTGGGCTGAAAACAAAGCTACACTCCCTCAGACTAAGATGGAAGCTCCCAAAAGGCTTTTGTAAATGGGACCAAGTCTTCCAAAACGGTCCTGGCAGCTTCCATGTTAGTCTGGGGGAGGGTCCTGTGGATGGACGAAATCCATTTCGCGCCACCTCAGCAACCCTGGAAGGATGCTTTGTTTGTAAATTCCAACAACAAATGGTTTCCCGTGGTTTCAAGGTGGTGCGAAATGGGTTTTGTCTTTCCACAGTATGTTAAGCAAAAAAGAAAACATCAAAACGGGGAGGGGGCGGCGGCTTCCATGGAGGGCTAGGGAGAAAGCTAGAGAGAACCCACAGCTTTTCCCTCAGCCAAATGTAACACGAAGCTTGGGCCGTTGCCCCACCAAGGTACCAAGGTGTAAGACCGTTTCAGCAACCTACATTTTTAGTTTGGTCCCTGCTTGGATGTTCGGCCAAGTTAGCAAGTGGTTAGCCACCTGGGGTATGACCCATCAATAACAAGGTGAGCTTCACTTCGGGGACCTACAAACGTGTTCTAACCCAGGTCCCAAGCAACTTACTAACTTGGCCGAACACCCAAGTAGGGACAAAGGTCTCTTTTTGAACTGAACAATTGTAGGTTGCTGTTGCCTAGGGGCAGACTAAAAGATTGTAGGTTGCTGAAGAGGTCTCGCCAGGGACAAGGCTGAAAAAAGCAGGCTGCTGGAGAGGTTTGCCGAAGATCCACGTCTTAACTCATGGTGGGCCCAGTTGCCCGGTGGTGCCCTTTTTCCCTTTTTTGTTGGGAGGAGTTCCCCTTGAAAGTCAACCAACCAAAAAAGGATGCCCTTTTTTTCCATGGCCACTGGGCATGTGAGTGGGGCAACTGCGCTCGAGCTGCGTTTTCCCATTGGGTGACATGAGGGGCAAGAGCGGCCTTGCGGAGGTCGGTTGGAAGGCCAAGGCGGGAAGGTTCTCATGTGCAAAGGGCCAAATCCTTGGCTTCCGGCGAGCTTTTGGATAAGCCGGCCAAGCCCAAGAACCCATGGCTTGGAGTCAAGAGAACAAGACGTGCGGTACCCAGGACTGCGAGATGGGTCTCGTCTGATTCTGCAAGAGCGGCAGCGGAAGCAGCAGCCAAGAGCCCACGAGACGGTGCTGGAGATGGACATGGGCACAGATGTGGAGGTGCCTGCGGTGCCATGCCCAGTTCAGCACCCCTTTCCGATTTTTGTTGACTTCCCCAGCCAACCCTCGTTCGATCGATGCTTGAGAATTCTGCTCCTTATTTTTCTATGTGGCTGCGTCTCAAAATAAGGGAACCCCGAACTTTCCGAACTGGTGGCCGAAAGCAACCCAAGAAAGTGGTGCCCTCAAACACAGGCAACCCCAGGTGGCGTTGCGCGGTTTTTAGGCTACTCCTTGTTGGGTTCTTAAACGAGGGAGACCAGCAGCATTTTGGGGGGTTCCCCCGTGTATTCATATTATGGGGTGCTTTTCCCTGGTTTTAGTGGTTGGATTCGGACCACTTTTGAAGGGCGCAAAAACCAACCCCCGAATTCAACAAACTGGAGTTGATGAATACGGGGTTTATTATGCAACCAAGAGCCCGCAAAAAAATAAAAATAAAAAAAATACCCACCCCCCCCATATTGCTAAACAGGGGTGGTGTCAAAGGGAATCTATCACCAGATAGGCATTTCCCCATTTTCCCCCGGGGGCGAAAATGCTAAATGGAGGGCTGGGGCACCGACGGCTCCCCGCAGCGTCTTGCTTCCGCATCCGTCCGAGGCGCCGCGCGCCGCGCATCTTTTTGACCGCGCGGAGCGGGAGGCGAAGGCCACGGAGCTGAAGCAGAAGGCCAACGAGGTGCTGAAGGAGGGCGGCTACGCGGAGGCCGACGCCCAAAAAGGGCTTGGGGTTGTCGCGCGATTTCCAAAAACCACCCCCAGCCGGGTGTTTTTTCATGCAGCTACTACATGGCTAGAGAAACCTAGAAGGGTTTTAATGGATATAGAACCACGGAAAAGAGCTACTAAGGGGCATATGTCCCCAATTTTTCTTTGGGGGTCGTGGTTTGGGGGTAGTGGAAACCACCTTCGATCCAAGAGGAAGGGTGCCCCCCAAATGGGTCGCTCAAGATAGCGCCGTGCCCGCCGAGGAGCTTGTGGGTTGGTGCGGGGGGCAATGTCGCAGTTGGGAGACAGATTCAGGAGGTGCAGGGGAAAATGGCCTAAGTTTGGCCCGGATTCACAACAATTAATATGCTTGAACTTCAGAAGTGAACCTTGAATGTCATAACTTCAAAGAGATCAAACAAAACAGAAAGGTGAAGCTACCAAAGTTGTACTGTAGCGAAAGTGGACCAGACGTCCCTTTGTGAGCATGAGCACTTGGAATCGAACACGTAGGTGGCCAAGCCTCTCTCGCGGCAAGGCCGAAAAGACCACTCGAAACAGGGCAGGAAAAACAAACCTTCATCACATCAAAGCCAGCTCCAAATCCCACCTGCTTCAAAATTAAGAATTTTGACAAATTTTGCTTCCCCCCCCCCTTGCCGAGCAGGAACAACAACGATGGCGCTCAAGTGGTCACGCGAATCCAGTGGGGGGGGGGAGTATCGTGTCGCGACGCTTCGTGTCGCTCCTCGGATCTGAGCGCCTGGGCCTCGGTTGGGGCGTGACGGCCAAGCATCTTTCAACGCGTCCACCTGTTTCAGCCGTGGGCCAAAGCCAATATTGCTTGAACAACCTGTTTTTGGGTTCCCAAAGGGGCTCAGAGTCTTATTGGGTCTCTCTTTTTTTAAGGCTGCCCCCTTTTTGGTGATTGCAAAGGGAGTACCGCCATTTTGTCCTTTTCGCCCACTCACGCCCAAAACCGGAGGCCTGCGCCATCTACTCCGCGGCCTTGGCCTATCTGCCGCCGGAGGAGTCTCAGTTGTTCAGTGGCCCCCTTTTCCCCCTTTTTTTGGTGGCCCCACTAAAATGGTCCAAGCCCCAAAAAGGGTTCCCTTTTTTTCTCCAGGGTCACTGAACAACTGAGTTGATTTTACGTCCATGTACCAGGGAAGCCCCTCGATTTTTCCATCAAAAAGTGAGCAATGGCCAAATTGCCAAACTGAGGCCCCGTTTTTCCACTTTTTTTGGTGGCTGCCCCACTAAAATGGTCCGCCCCAAAAAAGGGTTCCCTTTTTTCCAGTGTCACTGAACAACTGAGGAGTCGGACGTTCAGCTGGCGGGGGCCATCCTCGGGAACCGCGCCTTGGCCTCGCTGAAGCTCAGCCGCTGGGCGGACGCCCGCGCGGACGCGGAGAAGTCGCTGCAGCTGGTGCCGGAGAACCCCAAGGCGAGCGGAGGGTTGTTGGGGGCTGAAGAAGCCCTGCTTTTTCTGCTTTGCATGAGCGTTGTTTTTTTTTTTTTTAATATTATTATTATTATTATTATTTGCAGAGAGGGGGACGCTGTGGACCCTAGTGTTTTCCACATGCAATGGTTGTTTTTGCAGACGTGCAAACAGGTTACTTCAAGGCAAACCAACTGACTCAACACCAATCCGCACCTCAACAACTCCAAACATTTTAAAGAGTATAACTTTGATGTGATCATATCTGTAGGGTAAAGGATAAGTTATAGTTTAAGTACAAAGGTCAGAAAATGGGCAACACAAAGCAGTAAAGCAACATGTAACACAATGTCATACCATTAATCAATCAAAAGCTGAAACTGACCCTAATCTTTTGATTGAAGTTATATCTCAACTAAAAAGTAACCCCCGCCCAAAAGAAAAATAATGGTAGCGATATATTGGAACTAATCAAACCATTCTCATATACTGGGTTTTCTTTGCAAATATATGATCAACAACTATTTCCAAATACAAATTCCTCAAGTGATATTGATATATCTATAGACAACTTATATCAAGATATTGGAAAAATCAATTAAACCTAGTTAGTAATAAAGAAGCAACTATGCTTTTGCTCAAACAACAACAACAACAATGTGCTTTAGATAGTACATTAAAAAGTGTTCTTCAAAATGTCTTTGGTCAAGGAGTATATCCTAGCGTTGAAAACTTCTCACTGATGTTTTATCATTAAACAACATCATGTTGCAGGTCTTGCTGGGACAAAGACAGCTCAGGAACTTGATGGAAAAAGGTATATGATAAAATGTGTTGTTGATGATGATATATCTTTACAACAAGAAAGCATAGATCCTCAAAAAATGAACTACACAAGCAATATTATCTTCACAATTTGACCTTCTAGTTATAGCATTGCCAAAATCAGCTATCTCAACTATTAAAACATACACAACGGTTTAGAGACGTATTTTAAACGAACAAAGATCATGCCACCTCTAGAAGATGTTCTTCAAGATGAGAGTTGTATGTCACAGCTTAAGCCTGTTTCACTTTATGATTTACTTTCTAGAGAATTGAAAACTCTTGACAAAGACTCTATTTCATACTTTATTATTAAAGAGAAACGAGTCCTTATTATTCGCTCTGAAATTGCTAGGGAATGAATTAAGTATGAAGCTAAGCAGATAACTTTACTCGATCATAGTGAATTTACTATATATAACATTTCTGAAAACATGTTCTCTTTATATTGTAAAAAAGTAGTTTATGTTCTGTTTGTGATATAGAATCATTACACAATGTTTTGAGTGATTACTTTCCAGATGTAGTGTTTCATGCAGCAGCTTACACACGTGTGCCTGTATTGAGGGAAATATATCCACTACCATAAAAATAATATTCTGGGAACTAAACATACCATTGATTTGGCTATTAAAGCCAGTGTTAACATTACGTGTGCATGAGGATTACCATGATGTATAGAAAACCGGAAAAAAAGAACCACACATCTTGAGAAATCGACAGAAAACATGTTTGCAGAGGACATTACTGGTTTACCCTGTCATCTCTCCTAGAACTCTTTTTTTGTGCCAGCAGTCAGGGATGTATAGAAAAACACAACTCGAGAAATCGGGGAAAAAACAACAGTTTTTGCGGAGGACATAACTGGTATACCCTGTCATCTCTCCTATGACTTTTTTGTGTGTTTGTTTTCCGATTTCTCGAAGTTTTTTTTCGGTTTGAGGTTTCTAAGTGGGTAGAACCAAGCATCTCTCCCAGATCTTTTTTTTCTCAAAGCTTTTTTTGGTTTGAGGTTTCTAAGTGGGTAGAAAAAATATCTCTCCTATATTTTTTGGATTTCTCGACGTTTTTTCGGTTCACATGAAATCAGGACAAAAGCGCTGTTGCAAAAACCCAGGGCCCAGGACGTACCCTTCTGCATTTGTATTATCATTGGGGGGACCCTCCCAAGAATGAGGTTGTTGATTTTTGGTGTCCCTGCCAACACCGCCAAACAAAAACGGTGGGTAGGCAAAAACATCGTCGCAGCCGGGGTTTGGAGACCTCAGGTCCAGTTCCGCCTGGGTTTGGCGCTGCAGGCGCTGGGGGAGCTGCTGGCGGCTGCAGAGGCGCTGGAGAAAGTGGCGCACGAGGATTGCGCGGCCAGGGCTTTGGCGCAGGCGGGGGCGGCGCCGGCGGTGGCTTTGGTTTGCCTTTGGTTTTACTGCGGAATGACGAGACGAGTCCGGGTGTTGGGAATGAGCCGTTTGGGGATTCCCGAACAAAGGAAACCACAAGCCTCCATTTGCTGAAATGAATGTGTATATAAATATAAATATTTAATTTTCCTTTGTTGGTTTTAATGGAATCTGTGACTACCGGACATATTTTTAATTTCCCAGTGGGCTTAAGCAAGTAGAAGTTTAACATGTTTGGGCCGACCCCTTATGGGTAACCCTTGGTTGGTGGTTTGGATTGGCGCTTTGGGGATTCGGCTTGGCTTGCAATGTGTTTTCTTGGCGGGAACCCCAGCCATCCGCTTCCACCTAGGCTTTTGGTTGGTTTTAGTTGGAGTGGTTGGGTTTCCACTTCAGCCACAAGTTAGGAGCTTTTAGCAGCGGATCAGTTTGGAAAAGGTCAGTTTTGGGTTGGTACTCTTTTTGTTTACATCTGAACAAGCTTTGCGGGAAACTGTTTGTGTGTTTTCCCACGGACCAAGCAGTTTGGTACCCCCTAATTGTTGGTTTGGATTGGTGGTTTGGGATTTGAACCCCTGGTTTGTGGTAGAGGGTTTGCATGGGAAACCCCTTCACCACCAAACCGCCAATTCGGCTCCAACGCACCAACGCATCAAAGGGAAGCTGATACATGGGTTTGCCTGTACTTAGGGTGGGACCCCCCCCCAACCAAAAAAAAGTGGGTGTTCTTCTTGGGTGTCCCTTTAAAACCAGCAAAAAACCAGCAAGGTCAAGCCTGTTGGAAACAAGCCCGACATGAGGGTTGGTTGCCATCGTGTCGCGCCAAGATTCTGCCCAATTCCGTGCTGCTTGAGTTTCTGAGGCACAGCTGCACTTGTAGGGATAATCTTTTGCTGTGTCCAAAGCTCCGACCAGACCTTTGGTGCATTTTGCTTGGCTGTTAGGACTTTAACCTTTTGCCAACTGATGGGTTTTCCATTAAACCACTAAAAGTTATTCACTTTTAGCAGGGGAGCAGAAAACAACCGAGAGATGTTTCTATAAATTCCGCTTTTTCTTTCTCGCCCTGGCCAAAAAAGCCAATCGCCGGAGGTGCGGGCGAGGCTGGCGCCGGCGCCGAAGGCCGCCGAGGCCTCGCCGCCGCGGGGGCTGAAGTGGCGCCTGGCATGGTGGCAGCAGGGCTTCAGACTGCCGCGGCTGCGGGAGGCGTCTTGGCGCTTGCGGTGGGGGGGGGGTTCCCTTTTTGAGGCTTTGGCTTGTTTCAAAAGCGCACCAAAAGGAGAACCACCGTTTTAAAGGGTTCAAATCAGCAGCACGCATCTGGGTGTTCTAGGGGTACCTTCCATTTCCATTCTTTCCAGGGATCCTTCTTTCTAGAAAACCTCCCGAAACCCAGGGAAACGGCCGGCTTTGCAAAAGAACGATGGTTGGAAAGAATGGGGAATCAACCCTTGGATTGGTGTCCCTTTTCAACTAGAAAAGAAAAGGGCCAATGTGGGGAGGGAGATATGGTTTTAGAGAAATTTTAGACTCCCAAAATCCATTTTGGGCAGCTGGGGCGTGGTCCTTGGGGTCTGTTGGGTGGGGGGGGCACCCATGCGGGGGTTAATCAAAAGGTCCTTGCGATGATTGGTTGGAAAACCACAAAGGTTGTATTTCTCACATGGGAAAAGTTACCTATGGTCATTTGGGGCCCAAAAATCTAGATCAACCCCCCATTTGCCCCCACAGTTGCTATGTTAGTGGGAGGAAGGGGAAGCTTTAGCAATTTGTAGCCCTTTGCCTTTTGGTGTTCCCTCACGAACCAAGAGAAGGTCAGTGGGGGAACTCCCGAGCGAGGTTTGGAGGGACTTCACCGACCTCACCTCGCCGCTTTCCAATGATCACGCTCTGGCATTGATGCACACCTGGCGATACCAGGGCCCACTGCACGACTTTTTTCTGCAGGAGACGTCCAAAGCGGCGCGGAGCTTTGGCTTGCCGGCGATCGTGGTGCTTGGAACCGGCAACATGGCGGCGGCGAGAGCTTGCCTGGAGGTGTTGCATAGCAACGACGCGTGCCAGGCCACTTTGCTGGAGCCCTCTGAAGGCCTGGCATATTTGGCCAGAGAAGTTTTGCAGCCCGAAAAGAGGAAGATGCGCGTCTTGCACCTCAGTTCAAAGCGAGTCGACCTTTTGAGCTTTCGGTTTCCCTCGGCCTATTTTTAGTAGACGTCCCAAAAGGTTCACTCTTGGTGGTTCCGAGCCATCCCCTTAGCTTTTCAGGTTTTAAGTTTGTTTAGTGGTAGTTTCCATTTCACCCGCAGGTTCGTCACTTTTCGCAGGTCAGCAAACGGGCCCCGTTTTATATGTCCAGAGCGAAATTTGGGCCAGCGAGGCACTCGTCTGGCCAGCTGGACACCGAGTTCGCCTACCCCAGCTCTGTGCTGCGAAAGCCGGGGCTGGTTTTGGTGTGCGACCGCCTGGCGGAAGATTTGGTGGGCGAAGGTCTGGTAAAGACCTTGGCGGCCGCCAAGGCGGCCGCGGAAAAGGCCGGAAACGCCCAGGCGGGGGGGTCTGTTTTGAGGTTGGACATCCCCAAAATGGTGGGTGTTTGCTTTAGTTTCCCCTCAAAATATGAAAAAAAACAACCCAAACATTGTGGTTTTCCTTTTGATTTCCCTTTCAGACACGAAATTAAAAGGGCAGCCTCCGAAGGACTTTGGTTTCCCTTCAAAACACAAGCAAAACCCCCCAAAATGAACAAACAAACTCCCAACAAATGGTGGGTTTCCCTTAAGGGTTTCCTTTTCAAACACAAAGCAAAACAGGTATAATACCCTCCAAAAAATCGGACAGAGACAGGTGGTGTGCGTTCCGGCGCGGGCGGAGCTGCTGATGGCCCCGCTGGAGCTGCGCAGCTCGGAGTTCATGGGGGTGGACGTGTCAAAGGCCAACGCGCTGAGGTTCACCGCTCATTCGGAGGACGTGCCACAGGAAGCTCGCTTGCAGAGCGCATCGATCGAATCTGTTTTTTTTTCTTTCTTTGTTTCTTCTTTCATTTCTGGGTCTGGGTCCCTAAGGGGCAACTGAGGAAAGGCTTTGGAAGTGCGAGGTTTGCTCCTGGTGCAACGCGCTGCATGTGAAGGGCTGCGAGCTCTGCCGTGCGGCCCGCCGCCCAAAAGCCGCCAGTCACCAGCAGTCGAAGCGGACGGAGTCCTCGGGCTGGTGGCCCATGGATTTGGACGCGGAAGCGGCACACGCAGGAATGGACGGGAGTATTTGTCGCTTGTGCGCGGAGGCACAAGTGATTTGCGCTTTCGACTTCAACAACGCAGCAGTGTTTCAGGAGCAGCAAAGAATGCTCGAGAAGACTGTCACAGCGATAGCTTCATGTCAATGCCACGTGAATGCTATTGCGGTGTGGTGGCGCTTGCATGGTTTCGACGACAGCACTATCGACACAAGCCCGGGAAGTGCTGGGACTGGAAGTCTGCCTTGGCCAACCAAGCGCCAGGCAGTGTTCCACCTAGGTTACGAGATTGGCATTGAGCAAGGGGAATCCATGGAGCTGAAGGTGCACTTCTCTGATGCCTTCTGCAGAATCCGCTTCGACTTGCAGAAGCCGCGGCTGGTTGACCGCATGGGATTGATCAAGTTCGAGGTGGACATTACCAGCCGCAAAGTTCTCGACGAGCTTCGCAGCAAGGCGAGAGGTGTGAATATTTTGCATGGCTTTAGGTCACATGTTGCGTGGCAGGTAGTTAATCCTCCAACTAGAACATTTGGGTAAAAGTAGATGGCATGTTTTTCCAGTTTGGCCTAGTCGTCCCATTACCCAAGTAGAGGGCATTGTGCCATGTGCTTTCTTCTGGTCTACATCTCCAGTGCACCATTGTCTTCCCCATCGCAGAATACATAATCCGCCTCAAGATAGTACTGCGGATGTTGATGAGAAGGACCTTGTGTTTGAAAGCACCGCTTCCGAGCGAGTCGTAATCTCAGGCTGGATTCCAAAGGTTCTTAACGGAACATTTGAATCGAATTCAGTAGCGCACAAAGCCCGTTTTTGCCGATTTATGGAGGTATAGGAAGGCCTTTTAATGGTTTTTGTGACCATGTTGGCGATTCATTTGGAACTATACACTGATTCATACACACCTTAACTTACACCCAGCTTCGCAGCGAGTTAGTCCTAATTTACAGTTGCTTTAGCATTGGGTTAGTACTGATGTAGGTCTAGGGATAAAAAAAAACGCGAGGCATAAATCCCGCCGCTCGTATCAGTCAACGAGCGCTTGGTGGTTTGGAGGGCTTGGTCTCGGTTGACCCTGTATAGAGGGGTTGAATTCCGGCTACCACTAACCCACACCACCCAAGGGTGTCTTTTTTGGAGGGACCCTGGTTTTTCTTTTGGTTTCCCTGGTTCGCTTGAGAATCCCGACGGGATGCGCACAAAAAACGTGTTCTTTGGAAACCGCAAAAGCTGGTCTTCCATTTGTTTTCGCTTTAG